GGTCTTGGACACTTCTCCAGTGTCAGTGATCCCGGGATCCTGTGAATTTCCCGGTGTCCACGGAGGGCAGTGCCCCAGCACAGAGGGGTTCACAGAAGTGTCATTTAGGGCCAGAGCTGCATTTTCCACAGACACCCCACATGAGACAAACCCATTTGCTCTCCCTAGCCTGTTCAGGCACAGAAGTAGTGGTTAAATTCAGTTTCTACCCCACAGCTGAGGGGGCAAAGATAAATTTATTGCCACAAGACACCTTGGCACAGACGGCTCCTGGGCCACCCGAGGGGACACCTGGGGCTGTGTTTGCCTTTGTGACATGCAGTTTGTTTTTATTGTGCAATATATTATGATTTTAATTAAACATTTGGTGTCTCACCGGTCAAGGGGAGACAGCCAGAACTTCCCCTCTGTCATTCCCTCGGAGCAATGCTGCAAGCACTCCTCTTGCAAAATTTATGACTTCCACTACAGATTTGCCCTCCCAATAAAAATTATGTGTATTGCCAGCACCGTGGCTGCAGCACTGCCAGCCATAAATCTCCGGGAGCCATAAACATGTCACCAATAAACTATCAGGAGAAAATCCTGCCTGCTGGGAGAGCAGCATAAATGGAAACGCTCATTTACGGCACACACTCCTCCCGCTGTTTGCGCACCGAGCGGGGCTCACGGCTCGGGTGATTGGGCAGGGTCAGCGTTAAAAGGGCTGCCCCGGGCACGGGCAGGGACAGGGCACGGGCACGGATATGGGCACGGGATCTCCCTCTGCTCCTCGGCACGGCTGAGCCTGAGAGCCCCCGGCACCCTCGGTAAGTGCAGGCACTCCTGAGCCCCTCTGGTGGGCAGTGACACGGGGGGCAGCTGTGCCCAGTGCACCTCCTGAGCCCCTCTGGTGGGCAGTGACACGGGGGGCAGCTGTGCCCAGCACTGCTCCCTGAGCCCCTCTGGTGGGGCAGTGACACGGGGGGCAGCTGTGCCCAGTGCACCTCCTGAGCCCCTCTGGTGGGCAGTGACACGGGGGGCAGCTGTGCCCGGTGCCACTCAGGTTGTGCCCGTGGTCCCCATGGCCTCAGTGCCACTCGGGTTGTCCCCATGGCTCCATGGTGGCCTCAGTGCCACTTGGGTGGTCCCCGTGGCCCCAGTGCCACTTGGGTTGTCCCCGTGGTCCCTGTGGCCCCAGTGCCACTCGGGTTGTCCCTGTGGTCCCCATGGCCCCAGTGCCATTCGGGTGGTCCCTGTGGCTCCGTGGTGACACGGGTGGGATGTGTGGAGCAGGGGGCTGTTGGTGTCTCGTGTGGAGCTGTCGGTGGTGCCGATGGGCTGTGGCCTGGTGTGAGTGAGATCCAGCTGCTCTCCCCTTCCTGGGGGCCGTGTCAGCCGTGGGAATGGCCCTGCCCACGGTCCCTGTCCTGGCCACGGTCCCTGTCCTGCCCACAGTCCCTGTCCTGCCCATGGTCCCTGTCCTGGCCATGGTCACTTCCCCTCTGTCATTCCCTCGGAGCAATGCTGCAAGCACTCCTCTTGCAAAATTTATGACTTCCACTACAGATTTGCCCTCCCAATAAAAATTATGTGTATTGCCAGCACCGTGGCTGCAGCACTGCCAGCCATAAATCTCCGGGAGCCATAAACATGTCACCAATAAACTATCAGGAGAAAATCCTGCCTGCTGGGAGAGCAGCATAAATGGAAACGCTCATTTACGGCACACACTCCTCCCGCTGTTTGCGCACCGAGCGGGGCTCACGGCTCGGGTGATTGGGCAGGGTCAGCGTTAAAAGGGCTGCCCCTGGGCAGGGACAGGGCACGGGCACGGATATGGGCACGGGATCTCCCTCTGCTCCTCGGCACGGCTGAGCCTGAGAGCCCCCGGCACCCTCGGTAAGTGCAGGCACTCCTGAGCCCCTCTGGTGGGCAGTGACACGGGGGGCAGCTGTGCCCAGTGCACCTCCTGAGCCCCTCTGGTGGGCAGTGACACGGGGGGCAGCTGTGCCCAGTGCACCTCCTGAGCCCCTCTGGTGGGCAGTGACACGGGGGGCAGCTGTGCCCAGCACTGCTCCCTGAGCCCCTCTGGTGGGGCAGTGACACGGGGGGCAGCTGTGCCCAGCACTGCTCCCTGAGCCCCTCTGGTGGGGCAGTGACACGGGGGGCAGCTGTGCCCAGCACTGCTCCCTGAGCCCCTCTGGTGGGGCAGTGACACGGGGGGCAGCTGTGCCCGGTGCCACTCAGGTTGTGCCCGTGGTCCCCATGGCCTCAGTGCCACTCGGGTTGTCCCCATGGCTCCATGGTGGCCTCAGTGCCACTTGGGTGGTCCCCGTGGCCCCAGTGCCACTTGGGTTGTCCCCGTGGTCCCTGTGGCCCCAGTGCCACTCGGGTTGTCCCTGTGGTCCCCATGGCCCCAGTGCCATTCGGGTGGTCCCTGTGGCTCCGTGGTGACACGGGTGGGATGTGTGGAGCAGGGGGCTGTTGGTGTCTCGTGTGGAGCTGTCGGTGGTGCCGATGGGCTGTGGCCTGGTGTGAGTGAGATCCAGCTGCTCTCCCCTTCCTGGGGGCCGTGTCAGCCGTGGGAATGGCCCTGCCCACGGTCCCTGTCCTGGCCACGGTCCCTGTCCTGCCCACAGTCCCTGTCCTGCCCATGGTCCCTGTCCTGGCCATGGTCCCTGTCCTGCCCATGGTCCCTGTCCTGTGTCCAGTGTCACCAGGCCATGGGGCTCTCTGGGAGCTGCATCCCCAGGGTGCCCTTGTTGATCTGTTGGTTTTTGGTTTTCCAAAACTCCAGCCCTGATGCTGCTCCCTTTGCTGAGCCCTCACTTGGTTGTGGGGCTGTGAGAGCAGCAAGGTCTCCTCTTTGGGAAGGAGCAGAGCTCTGAGCCTCGCCCAGCCCAGCCCCAGCTCCCAGGGCCCTGCTGCTGCCCTCGCTGACAAGAGCCCTTCAAACACCAGCAATTTGAGTTACTGGTGAGCATCAAAGTCAGAGACAGGCGAAACACCAGGAGGTGGCTTTAGAGGCATGCGAAGGGACGCCACGGTGAGGGATCCAGGGGCAGCCCCAGCTGCTCTGGGCACCCTGTGCCAGGGCCTCACACCCTCCAGATGCTGTGGCATTGGCAGAAAGGGGCAGCTCTTCCCTTTGGGGAGCTCTGAGCCAGCAGCGAGGGCCAGAGGTACCCGTGGGCAGTTTGCTGTGGCACCACCAGGCTCTGTGGAGCCATCAGGGGATGCACCAGCTGCCCCAAGCCCTCCCTGTGCTGCCCAGGCTCTCCTGAGGAAGGGCTGACTGTCCCTTCAGCACCGGGCACGCTGCAGGGCAGGGTGGCTCTGATACCAACACGTGGCTCTGCCCTGCCTGGAGAAAATCAAATGGTCTGGGTTCTCCCCAGGTGCCATCAGTTATGTGCTGCTTTTGCCCCCGGAGCAGGAAGATGCTTGTCCTTGCTAAGCTTCAGGATTTATTGTCACATTAGACTCTCAAGCTGAGAATCTAATGAAGAAAATCATATTAGGACCCTAATAAATACGTCATGGAAGGATTGTCTGTTATTCAAAGATGAGCTGTGTTACGGCAAACTTCTGGCTCAAAATCCAGGCACACTTTTGTATCCTGTGGAAGGTGCAGGAAGACTGAAGTCACAAGTATTTTTTTGCTTTAATTAGCTCATCTTGCACCTTTGCTGCCTTCCCCCACCCACCCAGCGGGTCACTGTGTCGCTGAGGGGCTCAGGGACCCTGTCAGCATTGCCAAGGAAATGCAGGAAACTGGACTGTGCCAAGGCCCGGAGGTTCACTGGATAATTCACGTTGGAGAGACTTCTGAAGATCTCTGGTCCAGCACCTGCCTCGTGCAGGCCAGCTGGGACCTCTCATGGCTCTGTCCAGCTGGGTGTGGAAAACGTCTGTGCATGGAGATGTGCAACCTCGATGGGGAAACATTTCTCCTTCACTCAGTCCAAACCCCTCATTTCAGCTGCCACTGCTGCCTCCATCCTTCATCCACGCTCCGCTGTGAAGATCCTGGTCCAGCCTCCCTGATCCCCTTGGAGGAGGATCCCTTCAAACAAACCTCCTCTGCTCAGGGCCGGACCTGCCTCTTCCCTGGATCTCTCATTCCACCCCACCTGTCTCACCTGCCTCGCTGACATCCTGCTGAAGTGGAGCAGGCACGGCTGGATCTCTGCCAAGCCTCGCTCCCCTCTGCTCTGTGCCAAAGACCCCCCACCCCCCGTGTGCCCCCTGCCCTCCAGTTCACCCCCAGAGCCTTGCCGGGGTGCTCCCCAGGGCTCTGAACCTGGAACACCTTGTGCTCTGCCCTGTGCTTGCCTGTTCCCAACGGGTGTCCCAGGCCCCACACGGAGCCTGTGGCCCCGTGGGGCTTTGCTCATTTATTCCCCTCCACCTGGCAGTAAGGTTGTGAAAAGAGCAGGGCTTGGGGGTGTGAGTACCTCCGAAAATCCACCTTGCCCTGGGACCCATCTTCTGAGCTGAGAGCAGGAGGGTCTGAGTGGCTGATGCTCTGTTCTGCTGGAAATCATGGAATCCCATGGTTTGGACTGGGAAGGGCCTTAAAGACCAAGCTGTTCCCACAGCTCCAGGGGCAGGGAGATCTTCCCTGGCCCAGGCTGCTCCAATCTGGCATTGAACACTTGCAGGGATGGGGTAGCCACAGCTTCTCTGGCCTTCCAGTGCCAGTGCCAGTGCCAGTGCCAACAAATTTTGCATTTCTTTCCAGTGTTGATTTCCTAAATAAGAAGTATCAGGGTTAAACTTTCACAATTTTCACACCTTTTGATCTCCAGTTGGCATAAACCAGCAGCCTTGGCCTAGCAGCTTGGTCGTGGTTGGGATGAGCTTGGAAAAGGCGTTTGCTCACTCCACAGAGCATCTCAAACCCTGGAATTTGGGGATGACTCTGAAATAGTGGAATGTTTTCCCATTCATTCTAAAGCATTTCAAGTATTTCTTTTTTCCCCCTCTTTTCAAACAAAAACTGTCCATCCTTTCCCTTCAGTTTGGGATTTAATGGGTGAGCAGGAGCCTGTGTGGCACTGTTCCCAGCCAGCTCAGGGATCCCTGCAGAGGCTGGTGGGGAGGTGCAGGGCTGTGCAGCTCCTCTGCTCAGCACAGAGTCCAGCTGCGTGGGGTTTGTGTTGTTGGTTTGTTTTAGGTCTAGGCCATGTGAGAGCTGAGCTGGGATGGAGCATGACTCACACACCCCGTGGGAACTCAATGGCTCCTTCCACCAGCCTTCAGCTTTCCTCATGGTGGGCATCCCGGGCCTGGAAGCCCTTCACCCCTGGATCTCCATCCCCTTCTGTGCCCTGTACCTTTCTGCGCTCTTGGGGAACTGCGTGATCCTGTTCATCGTCGGGAGGACGCCGAGTCTCCACGAGCCCATGTACTACTTCCTGTCCATGCTGGCCGTCACCGACCTGGGCCTGGCGCTCTGCACCCTGCCCACCACGCTGGGCCTCTTCTGGTTCGGCGCGCGCCGCATCGCCTTCGACGCCTGCCTCGCCCAGATGTGCTTCATCCACATCCTGTCCTTCATCGAGTCCTCCGTGCTCCTGGCCATGGCCTTTGACCGCTTCGTCGCCATCTCCCACCCGCTGAGGCACCCGGCCATCCTGACCCAGGGCACGGTGCTGAAGATAGGCCTGGCCATCGTGCTCAGGGGCGTGCTCTCGCTGCTCCCCATTCCCTTCCTGCTCAAGAGGCTGACCTACTGCGGCAGGACGGAGCTGTCCCACTCCTTCTGCTTCCACCCCGACATCATGAACCTGGCCTGCGCAGATATAAAGGTCAACGTCTTCTACGGCATGATCATTCTCTTGTCCACCGTGGGGACGGACTTCGTCTTCATCGTGCTGTCCTACATCCTCATCATCAGAACCGTCGTCAGCCTCACCACCAAGGAGGAGTGTCTGAAGGCTCTGAACACCTGTGTCTCGCACATCTGTGCTGTCCTGGTGTTCTTCATCCCCATGATCGGGCTGTCCATGATCCATCGCTTTGGCAGGAACGTTCCTCCCCTCGTTAACACCTTGGTGGCCTACACCTACCTCATCATTCCCCCCGCCCTCAACCCCCTCATCTACAGCATCAAATCCACCCACATCCGCGAGGCGCTGCTCAGGGCCCTGTGCAGGAAGCCTGCCTCTGACTGGTAGATTGCTCCTCCAGTTCTGCCAGAGAGTGCTCATGGACTGGGCTCTCTGTCAGACCCCTGGCACTGGGGGCTCTGTCACACCCCTGGGTCTGGGGGCTCTGTCACACCCCTGGCACTGGGGGCTCTCTGTCACACCCCTGGCACTGGGGGCTCTGTCACACCCCTGGGACTGCAGGCTCTGTCAGACCCCTGGGTCTGGGGGCTCTATCACACCTCTGGGACTGGGGGCTCTGTCACACCCCTGGGTCTGGGGGCTCTGTCACACCCCTGG